CTGTCCTGGTGGTCCACATCGCAGCCGTCCTCGACGATGCTCACATGCCCGAACTCGCTCCCCCCGAAGTTGTCGCTGTCCTCCAGCTCGCCGTCCCGTCCGAGGGGTCCTCGTCGGCACCCGTTGCTCGAACTCGTCCCCCTCGTCGCCGTCGCCGTCGCCCAGCACGTCTCCCGAGGGCACTCCGTCGGCTCCATCGCCGTCGCCGCCGCCGTGCACCAGGCAATCCCCGAAGTCACGCTGCAGGTTGTCATCGGCCTCGCCCGACAGCATCTCGCTGGTGGCCCGCCAGCAGCCGCCGCCACTCGCCGCCGCCGCCGATGCCCCGCCGCCGTCCGCCAGCTTAGGGACCCCTCCGCCTCCAGCCGCCGTCGCCGCCGCCCCCACCGCCGATGCCGAGGTTTCCTCCAGCACTTGGCGGATGGCGTCCTGTAGCAGGCACTCGTCGGCCGCCTCCTTCTCGGCCTTATCGGCCCTCCTCGCACGCCGCCTCGCGACGCGGCTGGGGCCCTTGGCGCCCTTCTTCACGTCGTCGCCGTCGTCCAGCCCGAACTCGCTCCCCCCGACGCCGTCGCCGTCGACCAGCTCACCGCCCGAGGGGTCCTTGTGGGCACTGCGCTGCTCGAACTCGCCCCCCCGTCGCCCTCGCCGTCCCCCAGCTTGTCGCCCGAGGGTGCCCCGTCGGCGCGATTGTCGTTGTCGTTCTTCTGATCCTCGTAGCCCTCCAGGTCGTCGCCGCCCACGGCCGTCTCCGCATTGCTGGTCTCCTCCTCGCCGTCGTCCGCGGTCGCGGTCCACTCGCCAGGGGCCATCTTGGCCGCTGCGGCGGGGGCCGCCCCCTCGGCAGCACCCAGCCTCCAGCCCGCCTCGAGGCCCTCGGTGAAGGCCGCCGCCGCGTAGTCCGCTGCGGCCCACCCCAGCAACTGCACGAGCCACCCGGCCACCGGGGCAGAACCTTCAGATGATGATATTGTTGATGCTGATGATAATGATGATGATAATGCTGATGATGATGATGATGATGACGATGACGATGACGATGATGATGATGATGATGATGATGATGATGATGATGATGATGATGATGATGATGATGAGGATGATGCTGATGATGATGTTGATGATGATGATGATGATGATAATGACGATGATGATGATGATGCTGATGATGATGATGATGATGATGATGATGATGCTGATGATGATGATGATGTTGATGACGACGACGATGACGATGCTGACGGTGGTGGTGATATCGACGATGCTGATGATACTGATGCCGATGATGACGATGATTATGCTGCTGCTGCTGATGATGATGAAGCAGGTGACGATGCTGATGATGCTGCTGCTGCTGCTGATGATGATGATGATGATGATGCTTCTCACTATGCTGATTACGATGATGCTGACGATGACGACGACGTCGACGACGATGACATTGATACTGCTGCTGACGATGCTGATGATGATGCTGCTGCTGATAATGATAATGCTGATGATGCTGCTGATAAGGCTGATGATGATGGTGCTGCTGCTGATGATGATGATGATGCTGTCGAGGATGCTGCTGCTGCTGTTGATGCTGTTGCTGATGATGAGGTTGATGATGCTGCGTTGCCGATTCTGCTGTTGAGGTTGATGCTGATGCTCATGCTGATGCTGGTGATGACGATGATGTGGGTGTTGATGATGTTGATGAAGCTGGTGGTGGTGATGATGTTGATGCTGAAGATGCTGATGCTGATGAATATGATGCTGATGATGATGACGTTGTTGTTGTTGACGATGATGATGGTGATGCTGATGCTGATGATGATGACGATGCTGGTGATGATGCTGATGATGATGAGGATGATGGTGATACTGAGGATTCTGATGCTGCTGCTGATGATGATGAGGATGCGTGGTTCGATGATGATGGTGCTGATGATGATGACGGTGGTGATGATGACGACGATGATGCTGCTGCTGCTGATGATGCTGATGATTGATGATGGTGATGTGGTGATGATGATGACGATGATGATGCTGCTGTTGCTGACGATGATGATGCTGATGATGACGAGACGTCGGCGACAAGGATGATGATGCTGGTAATGATGGTGCTGCTGATGATGTTGATTTTGATTATGATCATACGTCTGCTGGAGATGCGTTTTATGATGATGATGCTGATGATGATGATGATGCAGATGCTGCTGATGATGCTGGTGATTATTCTGATGATGCTGAGGATGATGATGAAGATGAGGATGAGGAGGAGGCGGCCAGGATGAGGGATACTATATCATAGGACAAGCCCAGCCATTGCACTGCCAACTACAAGAGTCGCGTCGAAGCCCTTTCTGTCTGTTGAGTTTGGGTCAGGGCCCTCGGCCAACATCCCATAGCGAAACGGCGCACATATGTTTGTCACTCGCTCGGGACTTCCGTTATGCAAGGCTCTTTAAGGGGAAGGTTGAACCGCTCATGTTCGTAGTAGCCGCACCCGCTGCAGTACAACACACTCAGGTTTCCATGACCCACCATCATGTGATACTGACGACCTCCCACATACAGATGCTTGCAAGCGTGGACCCCAAACAGGCAGATGTTGCACTGTTGATGTGTAAGCTATAATGTGTGACTTTTGAGGTGTGGTGTATGTGCTGTGTGCTGATCGGTGCAAGATAGGTGGATCAATCCATAGATTTGGTGCGGGCTATGCGAGGTCAGCTAGGTGGTGACTTCCATATTGTCTCAGTTATGTGGTGTAAGCTATGTTGTGCAATCTAGGTGGTGCGGTGTAAGCAGTGCGGTATCAGCTATGTGGTACACTTCAATGCAATATGTTCTGTGGAATCTGTCCATTGCAGTCTGGGTGGTGTGAGGTAAGTTGTGTAAGCTATGTTGTGCAATCTTATTGGTGCACGCCATGACATGTTAGCTGTGCGGTGTAAGCTATGTGGTGCACTAAATGTGGTAGAAGCTTCGAGGTGTAAGCTATGTGGTGCACTCTATGTGACGTGAGCTGTGAAGTGTACGCGCGGTGCGCCCATGAGGCGCCCACGGGCGGCAACGTTGCGAAACCTCCGCGGACCCACCCAGCGCACGGGGCGCCCACGAGTCGCCCACGCGTGGGAACGTGGCGAAGACTCGGCGGACCCATCACATTCCTTAGCAAACCAAGTAAGAATTCCTAAGTGCAGGTGCTGCTTGTGGAATCAAGCAGATGTGGAATTGGGGAGGGAAGGGAGAAGGGAGGGTCCCGCCTTTGTCGTACTCGATGCGCTGGGGGCATGGCACGTCGTGGTCTGGCCCAGGGCGGGCGCGACGCAACCGCCTCATAAACAGGGCGGCCAAGTCCACCTGCCAGATAGAGCACGCACATATTCTGGGAGACGGGGCCAGCAGAGCGGCCAGACCTGCACGCTCGTCGACCGCCAAATTACCCAGAAAGAGACCGGGCAGTATTCCGTTCTCAACCTCATCGCGCACCTGGGTTCCAACCTGAATTACAGCAGTGAGTGACGGGTCCCAGCCGCTAGAGTCAAGGCAAACCCGCATCCGATCCCACCAAGCTTTGCAAGAACCTGTTACACCTTCCAGACTCCACCAATCCACGACACACCCATTAGCTGAGAAATAAACGAGAGCACCAGAAGAGTACACACTAGGTAAGAGGGATCCGTATCATTCACCTCGAGGGATGATCTGACGGTTCCCTGGGGGAGGTCGTGAAACGATGTGACTCACATGAGGAGGTGAAACATCTGACATTCTATTCATTGAGATTCTTACCCGACGAAATCGAGGCTCCTTGGCATCTGGACCCCCCCACTGGCGTCTCCAAGAACAAGAGGGATCGACCTTGAAGGCCGTGTCCAAGAGCAAAAGGAACCGAGTTGAGATTTGCGCCCGAGCTCGAAATAATCCGCACCGAACCTGCTTCACTGGGCATCGGGATAGGCGTCCAGTCGCGAGGGATGAGACCCCGAAGCCAGAAGCAACTCTCATTTACATGGCAAGCATCCCCTCAGCGGGGACAAGTCGGGACGACCTTTGTGCGCATCTCGTCGCACGACCGCCCCGTCCCAACATTGATCATAGCTTCTGCTCATCTGTGACCGTGGCGATACTGACGGAGACCCCGTAGACACTGATGACAACTCTGCCTTTCAACCCCTGCCCCATGCCTTCGCCGCAGTCGTGCCAGGACGCTTGCCGCAAGCGGAAACGCCAGCCGTTTACCGACGATAAGCAACGATGCTCCCAATGGGGCCCCTGACATGGCGGGAACACCAGGATGGCGCAATGGCCCGACGTTGATGGACAACCTTGGGCTACGCAAGACGAACCTGAGATCGGATCTCAGGGGTACCGAATGAAGTGGAAATCCATGGCTGCAGAGCTTCCCGCGAGAATTTGACGCCTGGGTCCGCACCTGGAACGCGCAAATCCTCAGAGAGACATCCGAACCCGGAGGAGCCGCAAGACGCCGCCGACAGTTCCATGGACCTGGTGCCCGTAGTTTGATATTTTTCAGTCATTTGCTTCGCCTTGATCGCACGCTTACTCCTAGTCTTCCGACCTGGGCGCCCGCCTGCAAGTTCTCCCCCAAGTACGGGGCATGATGCACACATGGTACCATGATCCTAAGCCTGCCCAGTTTCGAGAAACCGCTCGGCCGTCTGCAGATCCCGAGCACATCAGCACACTCCTCTGCGAAGCTCGTAGCCCCCCTCGTTTATTTTCCGAACTGTACCCCGAAGCGCGGTAAAAAGGCGACCCCGAACAATATTCCGAGATCCCGCAACGCGTTGGAACGCCACACGAGTCGTCGAAATGTTCTTCCAAGCGAAGTGAGCCATGCACCGCGCGAGACGAGTGCCGCTCGCCCCTGGAATACTACTCCAGTAAACTCACATGCTAGCGAAAAACACGCGTCCTGGGAAAGACGACGAGGACGACGACGACGACGACGACGACGACGACGACGACGACGACCGCCCGGCAAGGCGCCCACTGGAAGAAGGGGACGGGCTGCGGCCTGCCCGTGCGCAACGGCGCCGGGAGGCCTGGCGCGTCGTCCGGCCACATGTACGAGTGCATCTCGGTCGACGTCATCAGGCGGGGCGCTCGCAGGGGGGCGTCTCCTCCTTCTCCGCCCCCTCCCCTCCCTGCTCCCCATCCTTCTTCTTCTCCTTCCTCTCCCTCCTCCCCCTCCCCCTCCTCCTCCCCCTCCTCCTCCTCCTCCTCCTTCTCCTCCTCCTCCTCCTCCTCCTCCTCCTCCTCCTCATGGAGGAACTTCGAACCTCGATAGGGGGCGTTTCGGGGGATCTCGCCGGGTTCAAGTTTTCAGGCCACGTCGTCGGTTCTCGTGGGCTCGCCTCCAGCTTCGGGGTGCTTTCAAGCAAGCAGCTGCGCCTCGCCGAGGGCGTTCTGGGGGTGTCCAGATCGTCCCGAACGGCCGTCGGAGACCCGAGTCAGTTCTGACCCCGAAACCGTTGGCAGCGGGTCCTGAGGGAAACGTGTCCTGAGGTTTATGCCTGTTTTCGGGCTCGCGGGGTCCTCCACAGGCCCCGGGGCCGTTCGAAAACGATGCAGGGTGAAGATCTCGTCCTGAAGGAAGGCCCCGGGGTCCAGGGCCCGTTTCCCTCAGGACCCGCTTCCCCCATGCTAGGGTGCTCCCAAAACGGCCTTGCCTTCGGGGGAAGGGGGGTATCCTCTAATGCAGTCGCGGGGGGGGGGGGGGGGGGGGCGTTTTGGGATCGCTCCTCCTCCTCCTCCTCCTCCTCCTCCTCCTCCTCCTTCTCCTCCCCCTCCCCCCTCTCCTTCTCCCCATCCTTCTTCTTCCCCTTCCTCTCCCTCCTCCCCCCCTCCTCCTCCTCCTCCTCCTCCTCCTCCTCCTCCTCCTCCTCCTCCTCCTCCTCCTCCTCCTCCAGTCACAATGGGTCACAGTCAATCTGTCCTCCTCCATTTCCTCCCTCAGCTGCTGCTGCTGCTGCTGCTGCTGCTGCTGCTGCTGCTGCTCTTATTCTTCTTCTTCTTTTTCTTCTTCTTATTATGTTTCTTTCTTCTTCTTCTTCTTATGCTTAGTATTATATTAGTATTCCTCTTATTCTTCTTCTTATTCATGTTATTTCTTCTCCTCCTCCTCCTGTTCCCCTTCTCTTCCCTCCTCCTTGGAGTTAGGAGGCAGTCTTACTGTGTTGGAGTACAGGTTTTGAGCGGTTTTGCATCTCTATGTGACATATCGGAGTGCTCCAGGGCCTTTGAGGACCTACGGACGGGGACGGAGACTAGCCGGACGGTCTTCGAGGAGTCCAGCTGCCTGCGGCAAGTCCCGCCGCTGTGCCAGCCTCGCACTTTGATTGCGACTGTCCGGGGGCCCGTCTGGAGCTTCAGGAAGCCCGAACAGGTGAAGACGCCCAGGTCCTTCACATACATGAGGGAAATTTCTAAGTTAAGTTGATTCGGGCCTTACTGGGGTTCTCGTGTGCCCCTGTTCGGCCGTCTTGGAGGCCTCGTGGGCGGTCTTGAGGCTATCTTGGGCCTTCTTGGGGCCATTTGGGGCTGTCTTCAAGACTCTTGGAAGCATCTTGGGCCATCTTGGCGGTCTTGGGGGCTTGCATTTGCCGTCTAAGAAGCTGGGCAGCGCGGATCCATAGTGATTTATGGGAGGGGGGGTCGCTGCTTCTGCAGGTCGATTTTGTGAGGCAACCTTCGGCTTTTCTCGTTTCCCTGTTCTCGTGCCTTGCCTTCTTTCCTCGTGCTCCCCGGTCTTGTTCCCCGGGTTCCCCTTTCTTGTTCCTTGCCTTACTTCCTTTGGTTTCCCAGTCCAGGCCTTTCTCCGTTCCCCAGTCTTGTTCCTCGCATTCCTTCGCTTAGAACTGCTTTGACCTGCTTTGGACGAGTGACGATCCAGGCCTCCTAGATGGGGTCGGAGCAGATGGGGTCGGAGGATCGCGCCGCATCGCCGATGCATCGGCGATGCGGCTCGATGCGGAGCCCGATTTGCTTCACGCCGACGTCGCCGATGCATCGGCGATGAGGCGCGATCCTCCGACCCCATCTACTCCGACCCCATCTAGGAGGCCTCGAGACGATCCCAATTGGGGTCTCGCCGACCTCATGTTTTCACGAGGGATCGAGGGCTCTGGACCGCGACCCTTTTTTAGATGAGGGATCGTGGCCTCGTGAGGCCGGGGGGGTGCACGCGTCAGTCTGCTGGGAGGGGGTGTCGTCCTTCAGAATGTGACAGGCATCCTACCAGGCAGCCCTTGCCATCCTACACGCCTGGACTTACCAGGGGGGCACGGTGGCGGACGTTTGCCCTCGGCGGAAGCTTCGCAGAAGCTGGCGGGAGAGAATGAGGGCGGTTGTGGCCAGCGGAGGCCGGCGGAAACTCGGCGGGAGCAGGGGAAAGTACAGGTGGGCTCCAGGGTGCCCAGGGCTTCTGGAGTCGGCCAGGTAGAGTTTATAGAAGGTCCCGATCAGTCCTGCGGGGCCCACTCG